CCTGCTGTGTTCATCCAGCTCTACACCTTGTTGTCTCAGATTCTCCAGCATCTGCAGTTCCTACTATCTCTGATACAGTTACAGTTAGCAAGTCAGGTTTACCAGGATGATGCCTGGATTGGAGAGTTTTCAGCTATAAGGAGAGGTTGGACAAACTTGGAATGGTTCTGTGAAAGGGTCACTAGAGCCGAAACATTAACTCTGATTTTTTCTTCACAGATGCTGCTAGACCTGCTGAGTTTTTGCAGCAACTTTCTTTTCATTGGACAAACTTGAGTTGTTTTCGCCACAGTGTTGGAGACTGAGGGATGCCTTGATAGAAAAAGGTAAAATTATGAGGGGATTGGATAGGGGGATAGTCAGAGTCTCTTTCCCATGGTGGAAATGTCAATACTAGGGGTGGGGGGTGGTGTGGAAATTACTGCAGATACTGGAATCTGAACTGAAAACCAAAAAAAATTGCTGGAGGTCGCAGGGGATCATGGAGAGAAAGTTAGCTAACGTCTCGTGTCTAAATGACTCTTCATCACAGAAGAGTCAACTAGACTCAAAACGTGAGCTGACGTTCTCTCCATGGATGCTGGCTGACCTGCTGCAATCTCAAGCATTTTTTGTTTTCAATACTTGGGGGTATAAGTTTAAGGTGAGAAGGAAGTTTAGAGGAGAGGTGCGAGGCAAGTATTTTACACAGAGGGTAGTAGGTGTCTGGCAAGGTGGCAGAAGCAGATATGATAGCAATATTTAAGAGAGATCTAGACACACACACGAACATGCAGGGAATAGAGGGATATGGACCATGTGATGGGATCAATTTATAATGGCATCATGGTAGGTATAGACCTGGTGGGCCGAAGGGCCTGTTGCAGTGCTGTACTGTGTTCTATGTTCAAATCTCGCATCCCACAAATAGCTGAGTCACGAGGCATGTGGGTTAAATAGAAATCTGGGAAGGAGAGATCCCCAGAAGAGGCTGCCCAGGATGCTAACTCATGATCACATGGTGAAGTGGTAACTTCTTACCTTTGGAATAGGTGCTCATGAGTCCAAGTCCCATGTGTGCCTAAAGTGCATTTTACTGTGACTGACCAGGTCGGTATTTTAAAAATACTCATATCCCATGAAAGAATTAAAAATCAACGGAAAGCTGGTTTTACCAGATAGCCACTGTCTTCAGTTGTTGGGGTGAAGCATGAAATCAGATCGAACAACCTTCCTATTCCTTCCTTGAGACTAAGAGTGCGAGGTTTGTAAGGTCAGAGAGATAATAAATGTAGGTGGCGAAACCAAGTTGATCAACTTCCTTGAGATTTTTACAGCTCATTCCATTGTGAACGGGGATGTGGAGGTGCCAGTTTTGGTCTGGGGTGGACAAGGTGAGAAGCCACACGATACCAGGTTATAGTCCAACAGGTTTATTTGAAATCACAAGCTTTTAAACCATCGCTCCATCAACAGGTCATAGATTCATAGAGCTGTACAGCACGGAAGCAGACCCTTCGGTCCAACTCGTCCATTCCAACCAGATATCCTAAATTAATCTAGTCCCATTTGCCAGCATTTGGCCCATATACATCTAAACCCTTCCTATGAATATACACATCCAGATGCCTTTTAAATGTTGTAATTGTACCAGGCTCCACCACTTCCTCTGGCAGCTCGTTCCATATACACACCACCTTCTGTGTGAAAACATTGCCCCTTAGGTCCCTTTTAAATCTTTCCCCTCTCCCTTAAACCTATGTCCTCCAGTTTTGGACTCCGCTACTGTGGGGAAAAGACGTTGGCTATTCACCCAATCTATGCCCCTCATGATTTTATAAACCTCCATAAAGTCACCCCTCAGCCTCCAATGCTCCAGGGAAAATGGCCCCAGCCTATTAAGCCTCTCCCTAAAGCACAAACCCTCCAACCCTGCCAACATCCTTGTAAATCTTTTCTGAGCCCTTTCAAGTTTCACAACATCCTTCCTATAGCAGGGAGACCAGAATTGAATGTAATATTCCAAACGTGGCTTAAGCAATGTTCTGTACGGCCGCAACATGACCTCCCCACTCCAATACTTAATGCTGCATAAAGTAGAGAGAAAAAGGCAGTTAAGACTGTAGTGATTGGAGACTCAATCATTAGGGGAACAGAGAGGTGCATCTGTAGTGGATCTAATCACAACAGGATGGCGTGATCCACTGTGGGTGCAAGGGTCCTGCAGGTTACTAAGAAGCTACAGGACCTTATGCAGTGGGGGAAGTGCACCAGTCATTGGTTGTGGTATAAGTTGGTACGAACAACATATGTAGGAAGAGGGATGAGGTCCTGAAGGCTGAATTTAAGGAGTTAAGAACCAGATTGAAAGCCAGACCCTCAAAGGTAATAATCTCCAGATTGGTGTAGGAGGGAGGGCTTCAGACTTCTGAATAACTGGGACTGTTTCAGGGGAGAGTGGGACCTGTTTGATAGGGACAGTCTTCATCCAAACAGTGACGGGACCAATATTGTTGCAGGTGGTTTTGTTAGCTCTGTTGGGTGGACTTTAAACTAGTTTGGCAGGGGAATGGGAACCTAAGGGGAGGCTCTGAGTTAGCTAGAGTGGGTGAGAACTTAAGGAAAAAGAGAATCAAGATACTAAATGAAAGGAAAGGAGTAACTGAGCAGTTTAGCCCTCAGATGAGTGGAAACCAGATAGTGACAGTAAAAGTGAGGTCAGACCCTCCACCCACCCAAAATTGGTCAAGACACCTCAGTACTGAGGAGGGAGGAATCCAGACAAAACTCCGGTCCGAGACTCAGGAATGCACTCAGAACACATCGCTAGTAAAGGTCAAGGAGGGAGGCGGAGGGCAGGTAAATGTTCACAACGTTTCATTCCTTTATTTGTCATTTGAAGTACAAAAGAGAAACATCAAACTGTGGTTAAGAACGGACTGAGCTGGTTTTCGTTGGTGCTCATAGATCGTTGGAGATTTTTCCCATGGGAATGGGGCGTGCTTGGGACCTGTCCTCTCACCCCCTGTGACTCTCATTATACTCTCCCACCTGTGTGCCTCTGGGTCCATTCATTCTAGATCCAGTCTGACAAGACTCGCTTCCCTACGATTCATTATCTGTTTTGCCCAACTGAATCAAAACCAGTTTTGGATGAGATTGAATTCTTAGTTACCCGAACTTTAATACACAACATTCAGGTCTGGGGTTGATACATGCCAAGTGATATTCACGCCATTACCATAGCCAGGTCCCAACAAGACAGAAGCGAACTATCTCCCCTTATGCTCAAGAGTATTACCATCATTAAATCACCTACTATGGTTTAACAAATCTGGATATTCCATATGAATACAGTGGCAACGAGAATGGGTCAGAAGTCAGGAATGCAGTTAGTAACTTACGTCCTGGTCCTCCAAAACCTGTCTACCATCGACATTGCACAAGTCAGGAGTGTGAGGGAACACTCCCCACTTGCCTGGATGGGTGCAGCTCCAATAAAACTCAGGAAGCTCGACACCATCCAGGAAGAAAGCAGCCCGTTTATTGGCTCCACATCCACAAACAATCCAGAAACTCTCATTACATTTTGAGAAGTGTCTGGATGTGCACACTTGCAATGCCAAGTCATACGATGCTGTGGGGCCAAGTGCTGGGAAATGGGATTTGTTTTATATAAATAGCTGGGTCCATGCTTTGTCCGGCACAGGTTCAATGGGCCAATGGGTTTTTTCCAGTGTGGCAGATCGTGTGCCTCCAGGCATCCACTTCCTCCATCACAAGCGCTCAGTAGCAGCAGTGTGTACTATCTACAAGATACACTCACCAAGGCCCCTTAGACCCAGAAACCCACAACCTCTACCATCTAGAAGGATAAGGGCAGCAGATGGTTGAGGGGGTAGGGTGGAGGGAGTTAATAATGGGCGTTGGGGTTCAAGGTAAAATGGAGCATGCCCGTCCCTGAGAGTGGGTGGGGAAGGGAAGAGGGTGATGGAAGGGTTACTGAGGATGAACAGGAGGTGAGCAGGATTATGGTGAGGGGATTGGGGAGGGGGAAGGAGGGACATTCACAGAATGGTTGACACCTTCTGGTGGTGAACTTTGGGCTTGTAAAGCCCCCACCTTCCCCAGGAACTGAGCTAAAATGAGAGGAGACCAGAAGGGGTCCATGAGGACATGGTCCGACATGAAAAGGTGTACCCGTTCTGCCACTGAGTGATGGCGAGGTGTGGGGCACTGAGCCCACAACCGCCACAACCCACTTCATACCCACTTTTGCTCCCACCGCCTTTTCTTTGTTTGCCCCTTTTTGGTGGGGGGGGATGGAGGTTGGGGGGAGATGTTGAGATTCAGGATCGAAAGGGAGCGGCGTGAAGATCCCAACGATTACCTCAAACCCCAGGTGCTGCGTTCTAGAAATATCCGCTGGATTCAGTCCCCTCCCAACCCCCCCAGCTCACCCAACTCTGCAAACAATGTCCATATCTTCTCCCCATTGGTTCTTCAGCCTCAACGTGTGGTCGGAATTATATCGGAATTACACAAGTCTCCGGGTGTTCTTTCCGGCCCAAACTACAGGTTAGGGGTAGGGTTGATGGAGGTGTCACACATCTCGATGTGCACATGGGAGGTGATTTCCGGGAAAACAGCTTGAACATTCAGCAGGGTTCCCAACCTCTGGCCTTTTGAGATCTGCCCAGAATAGCGATCAGGCCGGAAATTGAAAATCTTCACACACAAACCTGGAGTCAGAGAGATTTGTAGATATTAACCAAGAGGATTCTGAAGTGGCTTGACAGGGTCAACGCTGAGCAAATTACATTCGGAATATCGTGAGCAGATTTGGGCGCCATATCTAAGGAAGGACGTGTTAATCTTAGAGGAGGTCCAGAGGAGGTTCACAAGAATAATGCCAAGGAGGAGCGGTTGAGAACTCTGGGTTTGTACTTGCTGGAGTTTAGAAGGATAAGGGGGCAGGGATCTGATTAAAGCTTACAGAATACTGAAAGGCCTGGATAGAGAGGACACGGAGATGTTTCCATTTGTAGGAAAGACTAGGACCCAGGGAACTGCCTTAGAGTGAAGGGGGCAACTCTTCAGAACTAAGATGTGGAGGAATTTCTTCAGCCAGAGGGCGGTGAATCTGTGGAACCCATTGCCACAGAAGGCCGTAGATGCTAAGTCTTTGAGTGTCTCTAAGGCAGGAATACATAGGTTCGTGATTAGTAAGCGGGATCAAGGATTATAGGGCGAAGGCAGGAGAATGGGATTGAGAAACATATCAGCCACCATCGAATGATGGAGCAATTGCAATGGGCCGAATGGCCTAATTCTGCTCCTATATCTTTTGGTCTTCCAGGATGCCTTTTTCTTTTCCCTTATTCGTTCACAGGATGTGGGTATCACTAGCTAGGCCAGCATTTATTGCCTGTCCCTAATTACACAGGGTAGTTAGGAGTCCACCTCATGGACTCACATGTAGGCCTGACCATGTAAGGATGGCAGTTTCCCTCCCCAAAGGACAATAGTGAAGCAGATGGGTTTTCCCCAACAATTGACAATTATCCATGGTCATCATTAGACTCTTAATTCCAGAATTTTTTATTGAATTCAAATTCCACCATCTGGTGCGACAGGATTCAAACCCAGGTCCCTTGAACATTATCTGGGTCTCTGGATTAACAGTCCAGCAATAATACCACCAGGCCATTGCCCTTCATAATCATTGCTTACCCTTGTGGGGGTGTGCAGGATAAGATGGCCTCATCTCAGAATACAATGCAGCCAACTTCAGACTGAGATGAGGAGGAATTGCCTGTCTTAGAGGGTTGCGAGTCTTTGGAACTCCTTGCCACAGAGAGCTGTGCAGGCAGAGTCCTTGTGTATACTTAACACTGAGATAGATTCTTGATCAGTCGGGGAATCAAGGGTTACAGCAGGAATGTGGATGTGAGGAATGTCAGATCAGCCACGATCCAACTGAGTGGTGGAGCAGGCTCAAGGGGCTAAATAGTCTACTCCTGTTCTCATTTCATATGGACTCTATAAGGGTCAGTGGACTCGAAGCGTGATCTCTATTTCTCTCTCCACAGATTCCATCAGACCTGCTGAGTTTCTACAACGCTCTCCGTCTTTGTTGCAATGATATAATTCCTGGACTTGCATTACTCTCAAACACCAGCGCCTTTCCCAGCTCCAAATTTCCCAATCATTACTGCCAACACAACCTGGTTAATTTAGGCCACCTTTCAAAACTGGGCCTTTTGTGGTAACGATAGTGAAGACACAGAGAAGCTGTTTCCATGTTTGTTAGAGACAAACTACAGATGTTACCTGAAAATTTGCAGGGTTAGCCACAATGATGTTAACTGAAATTGAATGAAATGAGGAGGAGAAATCATATGGAACCTGGGGATGACCTAATGATCAGAAAGGGCACTGGTTTGAAAGTGGTTCTGTATGGTTGTCGGTGTGTATGTGTACATGTGCTTGTGTGTGTGTGTTTGCGTCAGTGTGATTGTACGTGTGTGAATGTGTTTGTTTGTGTGTGTACGTGTTTAGATCTACAGCTGTAACTCAGCACTAACAAACCGGACTGTCACAGAAATTCTGCAAAAGCTGAATATTTGCTTTAAAACACACACAGTGAATCAGATCTGAAAATGTGGACTGTTTACTAGCTGAATTTGGGATTATCATAGAATTGTGTTGTGCATACAGTTGATCAGATTCATAAACATGGTGAACTGAAAGTTCACAATAAAGTTGATGTCCGAGTCCATTAAGACTGTAATTGCTTTGGGGGCAGATGAGAGAAGGTTCACTAGTTTAATTCCAGAGATGAGGGGTCTGTCTGATGGGGAGAGACAGAGCAGTTTGGGCCTATACTGTCTTTGGATTTCAGAAGAATGAGAGGAGATCTAATTATGGTCTATAAGATGTTAAAGGGGATTGACAAAGTGGGGTAATCTAGAATTAGAGGCCACAGTTTTAGGATAAGAGGGTGGCAGATTTAAAACAGAGATGGAGAGGGCACGTTGTGAGGCACGGTCTTCTCCCTCTCACCTTCTCCCTCTATGTCTCACCTGATCCCCGCAACATCACTCCATTATCAATCTCGTTACCATTGTTATAAGGATTGGCCCGTCTTATCAGCTTCCCATTGAATGGGGCGTAGATCACTGATCCCTCTTTGCAGATCACGTCAACTCCCAAGTGCCTGCCGTTGTCTCTGGACACAAAAGAACATAGTTAGACATCTCCCGCACTATCACACCCATTCACTGAACTTACAGGATACTGAGAGGCCTGGATAAAGTAGATATGGAGAATATGGTTCCACCAGTAGAAGAGACTAGGACCTGAGGGCACAGCCTCAGAGTGAAGGGACAACTGTTTAGAACTGAGATGAGGAGGAATTTCTTCAGCCTGAGGGTGGTGACTCTATGGAATTCATTGCCACAGAGGGCCATGGAGGTCAAGTCATTGAGTATCTTTAGGACAGAGATAGAGTTCTTGATTAGTAATGGGGATCAAGGCTTATGGGGAGAATGCAGGAGAATGAGTTTGAGAAACATATCAGCCATGATTGAATGGCAGAGCAGACTTGATGGGCCAAATAGCCTAATTCTGCTCCTATATCTTATGGTCTTATGGTCACTCAGGCTGAATCTTGAGTGATGAATCTGTCATTTTAAGAGGTTATTTTGTCCTTTGTTTATTTGAAGACAGGTTGTATGGCAGAGGTGTAGAGCTGTCTACTGAAGATCACTTGTGTAAACAGCTTGGGAGGCCTTTGGTTTTTTTTTAAATGCATCCTGAATGGGTGTGGAGAGCTCTCACAGATCAGGATTTCTCAGTGGTAGCAAAAGCTATTGGGGTCTCAAAAGAGTTGGAAGCTTCAGTGAATGTCTCCTGGCTGCTACTCTCCCCTCTGAATATTTTCTTGATGTTGTTTCTTTCCTCCTGGATGGCAGAACTGCATGTAAGAATCTGTGTCTGAATTTTTTTTTTGCCAAGACGTGTCTTTTTGGAATGTTACAATGTTGGAACAGTTTATTAGCAACAGTTACTGTTTCTATTATTCTGTTAAGTTTCCAATCTAAGTTATTCTAACTTCTTCTTTCTTTGGTTGTATTTTAACTATAAGAAGACCATAAGACATCAGAGCAGAAATTAGGCCATTCGGCCCATCAAGTCTGCTCTGCCATTCAATCATGGCTGATAAGTTCCTCAACCCCATTCTCCTGCTTTCTCCCCGTAACCCTTGATCCACTTGATAATCAAGAACCTATCTATCTCAGTCTTAAATGTACTCAATGACCTGGCCTCCACAGCCTTCTATGGCAGTGAATTCCATAGATTCACTGCTCTCTGGCTGAAGAAGTTTCTCCTTATCTCCGTTCTAAAAGGTCTTCCCTGTACTCTAAGGCTGTGCCCTATGGTGCTAGACTCTCCTGCGAATGGAAGCGAATGTCCAGGCCATTCAGTATAATGTTTAAATAAATTTTGTTTTGGTTAACATCGAATAGTTTGACCAGTCGCATTGCATCTGGAATAGGCACTTTGCATTTGACTTTAGAATAAGAAAATGTTATGGTAGAGGCTACCTTCTTAAAATACTTTGAGGGGGTCTTGTGTGGTCAATGACAGACTAGGGGCTTTAGTCGGGATCGAAATCCCTAATTCCAGATTGGGTTGAGGATTGTTGGACTCAAAGGCTGCGATGGCATTGTTGGTGTTTGTCATTTCAGGTGGTGAAGTTAGCTGGTTTAAACAGGGTGCGCCTTGTGTAATAATGGCTCTTACAGTCACAAAGAGTTTTCTAGGGTCGAAGAAGTCACTGCAGAAGTTTTAAAGAGCGTGAGAAAGGCAAAGCTTTCAGAGTTGGCAGACAGGCAGGACTTGGGATTTCCTGGGTCTGCGAGAAAAGGGGAGATAGTTGTGGAATTTGCGCAGCATTTAAAATTTTCAGAAATGCCATCGGAATCTTTGGAAATGGCTAAAATTCAATTGCAAATGAAGCAGGTTGGATTAGAGGCAAAACAAAGAGTCTGAATTACAATTAAAAGCAGAGCAAAAAGAAAAGGAGACGGGGGGCCTAGCAGAAGAAAGAGGGACAGAAAAAGAAACTGGTAGAGAAAAAACCTCTTAAAGCATCATCAGCCTTGGGAGTGAGAGGCGTATCATGAGGAAAAGTGGGCTAGGGCTGGGCTAGTATCTATTGGGCCTTAGCAGAGCTTCTTCCCAGCATCATTGGAATTTGTTGGCTATCCCTAATTGCCCCTTGAGCCACACGGGCTTGCTAGGGCCATTTCAAGGAGGCAGTTAAGAAACAAGCCTATTGGCAAGGGTCTGGAGTCACATATAGGCTAGAGTATGTAAGGACTGCAGCTTTCGTTCCCTGCAGGGCATTAGTGAACCAGATGGTTTTCATAGTGGCCCCCATTCTTTCCACCTCCAAACTGGACATTTTCCTTCCATTCGGATTCAGGTTTCACCACCTGCCATGGCAGGCTTGGAACCCACGGCCCCCAGATGATTATCTTAGGGGTTCAGCATGACAAGTCTAGCAGCAATACCTCAATTGTCAGCTTTTCCTCAGCAAACAATGTAAATTGTTGTTCCCTTCATCTTTTGGCATTCTTGCCAGTCTGTCCTGGTCTGATGTTTGCCAGATGGCATTTGGTCTCTTTCCAAAATTAAAAAAAAAAATTCCTTCATGGGATGTGGTCCATTGTGCCCATTCCTAACTGCCCACAGAGAAAGTGGTGGTATATCTTTATAACCTCTTCCAGCCCCTACAACCCTCCCCATCTCTGTAACTTTCTACAGTTCTTACACCTTTCCTTATCTCTGTAACCTCCTCCAACCCCTATACCCCTCTCTATCTCTGTAACCTCCTCCAGCCCCGACACCCCTCTCTATTTCTGTAGCCTCCTCCAGCCCCTACACCCCTCTCTATTTATGTAACCTCCTCCAGCCCCTAAACCCCTCTCTATCTCTGTAACCTCCTCCAGCCCCTACATCCCTCTTTATCTCTCTAAACTCCCCCAGCCCCTACACCTTCCATACCAGTGTAAACTCATCCAGCCCCCTACACTCTTCCCTATCTCTGTGACTGCCTCCAGCTCCTACACCCTTCGCTATCTCTGTAACCTCCTGCAGTCTGTACACCCCTCCCTATCTCTGTAATCTCGTCCAGTCCCTACAACTCTCCCTATTTCTGTCACCTCCTCACCAGCTGAGGTCCCCGTACTCCTCTAATCTGGCCTGTCAGACTTCCTAAATTATATGCACACCACCCCCACCAATGACTGCAATACCCTCAGCTGACCGGGCCCCAATTTCCAGAATTGCCTCTGTAACCCCATTTCACTCTCACTCTCTGTCAATACCTCCTTGCAAAAGCATCTCTGCAATATCATCCTACCTCATACTGGGGCAGGGGGGAAGGGGGCAGTGCGGTATAAAGCAGGAGGTGTGGGAACTCCACTCTAAAGCACCATGTGTTGTTTTCCCACATTGACAGTTGCTACGCAAATAGAAAATAGAAGTGGTGCTTGTTGAAGGTGTGGGTGGAGTGCATCACTAATGAGAATACAAACATTTACCTGGGTGCTCCATATGCTCCACTGCCGTAGCTATCTGTCCCCCTCACTCTGTTTGTTGGATTACCCCTGCACAGTTTACCCCAGCGACCAGCTGCAACTGTGGGACAGAGAGGCAACAACAAACTTACTGTCACTGTCAAAGCATCTAAGATCGAAGGGAAAATATCAAGCAATCGCTTTTAATTCCTTGTCGTAGAGACATACAGCATGGAAACAGACTGTTCGGTCTAACTTGTCCATGCCAACCAGATATCGTAAATTAATCTGGTCCCATTTTCCAGTATTTGGCCCATATCTTACTAAACCCTTCTTATTCATATATACATCTAGCTGCCTTTTAAACGTTGTAATTGTACCAGCCTCCACCACTTCCTCTGGCAGATCGTTCCAAACACACACCACCCTCTGTGTGAAAAAATTACTCCTCAGGTCCCTTTTATATCTTTCCCCTCTCACCTTAAACCTATGCCCTTAAGTTTTGGACACCCCCAGCTAGTGAAATGGCCTTGGCTATTCATCCTATCCATGCCCCTCATGATTTTATAAACTTCTATAAGGTCACCCCTCAGCCTCTGACGCTCCAGGGAAAATAGCCCCAGCTTATTTGACTTCTACCTATAGCTCAAACTCTCCAACCCCAGCAACATCCTTGTAAATCTTCACTGAACCCTTTCAAGTTTCACAATGTTTTTCCTATAGCAGGAAGACCAGAACTGAATGCAGTATTCCAAAAGTGGCCTACCCAATGTCTTGTACCACCACAACATGACGTCTCAACTCTTATACTCAATGCACTGACCGATAAAATGTACCATATCTTTTCTTCACTACCCTGTCTACCTGCAACTCCATCTTTAAAGAACTACGAACCTGCAGATCAAGATCTCTTTGTTCAGCAACTCTCCCCTGAAACCTACCATTAGGTGCATAAGTCCTGCCCTGATTTGACCTACTAAAATATATCTCATTTATCAGATGAAACTCCATCTGTCACTCCTCAGCCCATAGGCCCATCTGATCAAGACCCGTTGTATTCTGAGATAATCTTCTTCACTGTTCACCATTTTGGTGTCATCTACAAACTTACTAACCTTTCCTCCTATAATTGCATCCAAATCATTTATATAAATGACAAAAAACAGTGGACCCAGCATCTATCCTTGTGGCACACCGCTGGTCACAGGCTTCCAGTACAAAAAGCAACCCTCCCCTATTACCTACAAGCCAAATTTGTATCCAGTTGGCTAGCGGTCCCCAGATTCCATGTGATCTAAACAGTCTACCATGCAGAACCTTTTCGAACACTATGCTGAAATCCATACAGCCAACATCTACCACTCTACAGTGATTGATCATCTTCGTCACTTTTTTAAAAACCTCAACCAAGTTACTGAGACACGGTTTCCCATGCACAAAGTCATGCTGGCTATCCCTAATCAGTCTTTGCTTTTCCAAGTACATGCAAATTCTTTCCCCCAGGATTCCCTCCAGCAACTTACCCACTGATGTCAGGCTCACCGGTCTACAGTTCCCTAACTTTTCCTTACCACTTTTCTGAAATAATGACACCACGTTAGCCAATCTCCAGTCTTCCGGCATCTCGCCCATGGCTATTGATGATACAAATATCTCAGCAAAGGGCCCAGCAATCACTTCCCTAGCTTCCCACAAAGTTCTGGGATACACCTGACCAGGTCCCAGGGGTTTATTCACTTTTATGCTTTTTAAGACATCCAGACGTCCTGTGTAATATGGACATTTTTCAAGATAGCAATATTTATTTCTCCAAGTTATCTAGCTTCTACATCCTTTCCCACAATAAATACTGACACAAAATATGTGTTTGGTATCTCATCCATCTCTTGAATTTCCACATATAGGCAGCCATGTAGATCTTAAAGGGGTCCTATTATCTCCCTAGTTACTCTTTTGCACTTAATGTACTTTTGCTGAGAGAGTAGGAGTGGGAGTGGATTCAGAGGGAGATAAAAGTCTGTCAAGTGAGCACAGGAGAGTGTCATTAGACTGGGTGGGATATTAAAGGGTGAAGATGTGACAGGGTGAAGGGGATGAGACAGGGTGGGATATTAAAGGGTGCAGGGTGTGAGAGGAAGAGTTGGACTAGGTTGGGTGAGATATTAAAGGGGGTGGGAAGTGAGGGGTAGAGTGGGATTAGACTGGGTGGTAAATTAAAGTGTATGTGAGTGAGGGGGAGAGTGAGATTAGACTAGGGGGCTTATTAAAGAGTGTGGGAAGTGAGGGGGAGAGTCGGATTAGACTGGGTGGAATACTGAAAAATGCAGGGAGTGAAGAGAGTGTGGGATTATACTTGGTGGGATATTAAATGGTGTGTGGGAGTGATGGGGAGAGTGAGATTAGATTGGTTGGGATATTAAAGGGTGTGGAGAGTAAGGGGGAAGAGTGGGATTGACAGGGTGGGATATTAAAGGGTTCGGGATGTGAGGTTAAGAGTGGGCTTAGAATGGGTGGGATATTAAAGGGTGTGGGTAGTGAGGGGTAGAGTGGGAGCAGACTGGGTGGGATATTAAATGGAGCAAGAGGTGAGGGGGGAGAGTGGGATTATACTGGAAGGGATACTAAAGGCAGTGGGGAGTGAGGGAGCAAATGAGTCGCTTGATGTTTGCACTTTAATCTTGGGATGGGGCTGAAGCTCAAGGCATTGCTATCCAGCAATAACACTGAGCTTCTGGAATAATCAATAGATAGTACTGGGAGCAAAAGGCTGAAATTACTCAGGGACATAAGAACATAAGAACTAGGAGCAGGAGTAGGCCGTCCGGCCCTTCGAGCCTGCTCCGCCATTCAATAAGATCATGGCTGATCCTTTCGTGGACTCAGATCCACTTACCCGCTTTCTCACCGTATCCCTTAATTCCTTTATTGTTCAAAAAAAATCTACCTTTTTTTTAAAAACATTTACTGAAGTAGCGTCAACTACTTCACTGGGCAAGGAATTCCATAGATTTACAACCCTCTGGGTGAAGAAATTCCTTCTCAGTTCAGTCCTAAATCTGCTCCCTCTAATCTTGAGGCTATGCCCTCTTGTCCTAGCTTCACCTGCCAGTGGAAACATCCTCTCTACTTCTATCTTATCTATTCCCTTCATAATTTTATATGTTTCTATAAGATCCCCCCTCAATCTTCTGAATTCCAATGAATATAATCCCAATCTACTCAGTTTCTCCTCATAAGCCAACCCCCTCAACTCCGGAATCAACCTAGTGAACTTCCTTTGCACCCCCTCCAGTGCCAATACATCCTTTCTCAAGTAAGGAGACCAAAACTGCACACAGTACTCCAGGTGTGACCTCACCAGCACCTTGTACAGCTGCAACATAACCTCTCTGCTTTTAATCTCAATCCCTTTTAGCAATGAAGGACAAACCCTGTTAAATAATGCCTTGAGCAGGAAATGGAAATCCCGGCTTTCAATTCCTGTATGTTTGATCATTCCAAACTTTGGACTGTTCCTGTAAACAGTTTGAAGAATAGATCACTCTATAAGTGTAAAACATTTCTACTGTATCCCTTCCAGCCAGACACAGTATAAAGTGACTCACCGTGAGAGAAGAGAAACAGGAAGATAAGTTCCTTGAACATGATGAGATCAGAATATCTGGGGAAAACGATTCAATCATTATTTGAATAGACTTGTTCACTAATCATCAGCTCCAACATTCATTAATACTCAGCACAGCTTGATCCAGTTTGCTTTAGGGTTAGTATCAACTCAGAGAGAGAGGATTCAAGTACAGGAGCAGGTATGTCTGGTTGCAATTTCACAGGACCTTGGTGAGACTGCACCAGGAGTATTGTGAGCAGTTTTGATCTCCTTAGCTGAGGAAGGATGTTCTGGCTGCAGAGGGAGTGCAGTGGTGGGTTACTGGACTGAATCCTAGGATAGTAGGACTGTCGTACGAAGAGCGATTGGATCAGTTAGGATTATATTCACTGACATTTTGAAGCATTAGGGAGGGGGATCTTAGAGACTCCGATAAGATTCCAAAAGGATAAACACAGCAGTGATATTCCCGATGACCAGGGAGTTCAGAACCAGGGATCACAGTCTAAGGATACATCGTAAACAATTTACAAGTGAGATGAGGAGAAATGGCTTCACCCAGAGAGGGGTAATCTGTGGAATTCCGTGCCACAGAAAGCAGCTGAGGCCAAAACATTAAATGTTTCAAGAAGGAGTTGGGATAGTTTCTGGGGCTGAAGGGATCAAAGGGTTTTGGGGGGAGATAGCCTGAAAGATGGAGGACTGTGTTGGATGATCAGCGATGATCATATTAATGCGGAATGGTCTCCTCCTGCTTCTGTTTTCTATATGTCTAGGATTTCTGTGAGGGGTTAAAGTGGACAGTAACATAATCCCAATCTGTCTTTGCATCGTCACAAGGAATTGTCCAATCTGGACGAGGCTCTTTGGCCCACCATGACCATGCAGGCTCCCTGTGACAAAATTTGTATCATTGTCTTTTCACCTTCCTCTCATTCAAACATATCACCGAGTTCCCTTTGGAAAGAGACTGTTACAGCTGCTCCGAGTGCCCTTTCAGGCAGTGCTTTCCAGATCGGAACTTGACTCCTGATCATATCTCCAGCCCTTCTGCCAACTATGGTAACATCTGGATGCCCTCCCCAACCAGCTGTCAATGTTGCTGTCATGGGTAAACATGACCCTCAGAGCTGGAATGCCTCGTTGGTGTGTCCCCTTCTTTCTATCATTGATCAATCCCTCAACAAGGATGGATTACCTCTGTGGGTTAGTGCATTAAAGACATTAAAGCATATTAAACAGGCATTACGACAAAGCAATCGATCTCTGTGTGAGTGCAGCTTGCAGACTCACAGCAGGCTGAGACCCAGGCAGAGTCACAACATTGTATACACACAGTACATGGAGACCTCTGTCCTCTCTATACAGAGGGGTCTAATCCCACTCACTGCACTATCACCAGTCGATGAACTGAGCTGGAGAAGTCACCGATCGTGGCTGATTCAGAGATCAAGGAAGAGGAGGAGAGAAATAATACCTGTCTCCACCAACACAGTGGAAATTCAGAGTCTTATACCTGTCGGCTCTCCGTCCTTTGTCTGAAAGCTTGTCAGGTCTTCCTCGCATTAATAATACTGCCTGGAGTTGACCCACAGTTCATGGGCATGCGGTAAAGGGAAATGTCGGTTATAAGCAGTGGGTTTTGGGGTTGTTTAAGGACATCAGATTACTGATATCTTATATCGCTGACATTGCGGTACCCAGTGAACCACTAACTGAGGCCATTATCAAGAAAGTCATTGACCAATGGGGCTGCAATATTGACCTCCCTCCCTTTGTTGACATCCCCTTCAATGAATAAACACTGGGCCTTGAATCCTGATAGAGCACAAGGGCACAATACTGTCTGAAGCAGAGTGGAGCAGTTCCAGTAGCTTGGTTGGGGGTTAAAAAACAGAACCTCACTTTAACCCACAATGCGAGTGGTCAGGTCTGGACTACCCCAGAGTCTGTGTCCCCTCAGGACCATGTTGGGTCAGTTCTTGACCTGGCTGACTGATGGAACAGAGTGGTTACAAAACAGATGGAGGCCATTCAGCCCACTGAGCCTTAACTAGACCTCCCACAATCAATGTGGGCCAACCAATGTTTAGCTGACAGCTAACATTCCACATCCCATTGAGTCTCATTAGCCTCCACTCAAAACCCATCACCTCAGTCTCCAATGTGGTCTACACATTGCAGGAACAGGCCATTCAGCCCAACTAAGTGCATGCTAGAATAGAGACGAAGGCAGATTCGCCAACAGTCGCACAAGCTCTCCTCAGAGGAGAGGCGTGATGCAACGAGCAGGAATCATTCGCAATTCCTCAGAAAACGACTCTCCCTCAGTGGAGCTGAGGGGAGGGGGCGAGAAGGTAGGTAATACAGATGGGAAGAGAGCAGCAGATGAAGGGCCTCAGTGTTGTTGGTGTTAGAGATTGAGAGACTGAGTGCAGGGAGCATTCAAAGGCCTGGCTCTTGGGTGAAGCCTCAGGCTTGTTGCCAGGACCCTGCTGCCTTGGCAGCTCTCAGCCCATCACAGCATCTTCTTCATCGATTGGCCAGAGAGCCATGACGAGAGATGTTGTGAGGTATTGAGATAGAAACATGCTGAGGATCAGACCACATCTTCAGCTGATATGTGCGATTTACAGATCAAAGGCCCAATTCAACAGTGAACTGAGGGGAACGGGATCCCAGGGCAGAGCCCAATGGGACGCAGTTTATTTACAGTGGACAGCATGGGGTTAGATACAGAGTAATGCTCCCTGTACATCATCCCCCTGTGCACCATCCCCCATCAAACGGACCGATGATAGAGACAGCACGGGGTTAGATACACAGTAAAGCTATCTCTTCACTGTGCCCAGCAAACACTCCCATGACAGGGACAGTATGGGGTTAGATACAGTGTAAAGCTTGCTCTACACTGTCCCCATCAAACACTCCTTAGGACAGACACAGCAGGGGATTAGAGACAGAGTAAAGCTCTCTCTACATTGTCCCCATCAAACAATCCCAGCACCCGGAAAGCACGGGGTTAAATACAGACTAAAGCTCTCTCTATGCTGTCCCCATTAAATACTCCCAGGACAGGGTCAGCACACGGTTAAATACACAGTAAAGCTGCCGCTACACTGCCCCATCAATTATTCCCAGCACTTGCACAGCACAGGGTTAGTTACAGAGTAAAGCTGCCTCTACACCTTCCCCCATCAAAGGATCCAAGGATAGTTACAGTATAGGGTTAGACACAGAGTAAAGCTCCCATTACACTTTCCCTGTGAAAGACACCCAGGACAGGGGCAGCACAGGGGTTAGATACAGAGTAAAGCTCCCCGTACTTTTTCAATCTGAGAGTAAAGTCCTCTCTGCTCTCTTATACTGAAAGTAAAGCTCCCTTCACTCCCTTGTACTGGAACTAAAGCTTCATGTACACTGTCCCCAACAAACACTTCCAGGGCAGGGATGGCATGGGGTTAGATACAGAGTAAAGCTCCCTCTACACTATCCCCATCAAACACTCCCAAGGACAGGGACAGCACGGGGTTAGATACAGAGTAAAGCTCTCTCTACACTGACACCCCATCAAACACTCCCAGGAAAGGGATAGCACAGGGTTAGATACAGCGTAAAGCTTCCTCTACACTGTCCCAAAGGAAACACCCCCAGGAAAGGGACAGCACAGGGTTAGACACAGAGTAAAGCTCCCTCTGCACTGTCGCCCCATCAAACACTCTCAGGACAGGGACAGCACGGTTTCAGATACAGAGTATCTTCTGCACAGTCGGGAATAATATCTATCAGAAGCAGCCTGAATGACTGTGATGCATTCCAGTCCCAGCCTCAGCTTGTTTTTAATGTGGATTGGTGCCTTTGCTCGTGGAAGAAGCAGGGCCATGGTTTCATCTGTCCTGAGAACCCTCCCACACAGAGGGAGCATCCAATCTGGGAGCGATTCACACCAAATAGCTGAGGCAAGAGCCCTGCATTTGTCCCACCATCTCCCCACATCCCGGAGAAGATAAAACTGGGATGAGTACTTGTTGGCAAATCCGTAAGATCTGCCTTAGCGTACATAATGAAAAAAAATTTACAGAAACTCTTTTTCTTGTCCCTTTGATTGCTGGTAGCAGAATCAGTGACCAGAGGGGCACAGAGTGAAGGGAATTGACAAAGTATCCAGAGAGAGGGCTGGTCAGTTTTATTTCCCCAGGTTGGGAGGAGTCGGGGGGGGAGATATGTCATGATCTGCTACACATTAGCGGAAAAGCAGATTGAATTGGAATTATCCAAGCAGGATTTGTACCCTTTTATCTGGAGGGGACAATCTGCATGAATACAAGATAAAGAGGCAGCCTTTGGGGTGAGGACACATTAGGAACCTCTTTCAAAGAGGCCATCAGGAGTAGGATGACACGAGTGGCCCCCGTCAAAGGCAGAATTCCCCTGAAGAATGACCGTCATCCCCGTACAAGAATTGAGAGTCACTAACTGACAGGGCACTCCAGTCTTGCGTTAACGCTCCTTTTTAATTATTAATCTCCATGGATCAATCAGCCCGTGAGCCAAAAATGTCGAGAATCAGAGTGAGGGAGCGTTCGCTTGTGATTTCATAGGTTTGTGAGTACAAGAATTAAAAGATCTTGCTACAAACATCCACTCCCTCCACCACCAACACTCAGTGGCAGCAGTGTGTACCATCTACAAGATACACCGCAGAAATTCACCAAAGATCCTCAGACAGCACCTTCCAAACCCATGGCCCCTTCCACCTGGAAGAGCAAAGGCAGCAGATACATGGGAACACCAGCCCTCTGAAAGTTCCCCTCTGAGCCACTCCCCATCCTGACTTGGAAATATATCGGCTGTTCCTTCAGTGTTGCTGGGTCAAAATCCTGGAACTCCCTCCCTAACGGCACTGTCTGGGTGTCCCTACACCACATGGACTGCAATGTTTCAAGAAGGCAGCTCACCACCACCTTCTTAAGGGGCAACTAAGGACAGGCAATAAATGCTGGCCCAGCCAGCAATGAGTGAATACAAAAAAAAAGATTCGAGTTTAGATAGGACTATTTTTGGAACAATTTCGACTCTGCATCGAAGGAAGGATATATTGCATTGGAGGTAATACAGTGTAGTCTCACTGTTTTGACCTCTGAGATAATGGGGTTGTTCTATATGATAAGGGACTGAGTAAATTGGGCCGTTATTCTCAGAGGTTTGAAGAATGAGCTGTGATGGGGTGGCATGGTGGCTCAGTCGTTAGCACTGCTGCCTCACAGTGTCAGGGACTTGGGTTCAATTCCACTGTTGGACGACTGTCTGTGTGGAGTTTGCACGTTCTTCCTGTGTCTGCATGGGTTTCCTCTGCGTGCTCTGGTTTCCTCCCATAGTCACAAAGATTTGCAGGTTAGGTGGATTCGCCATGGGATATTGCCCATACTGTCTAGAGATATGCAGGCTAGGTGGGTTAGCCATGGGAATGCAGGTTCACAGGGATAGGGTGGGATGCTCTTCAAAGGGTCAGTGTGGACTCAATGGGCCAAATGGTCTGCTTCCACACTGTCTATGATCTCATTGAAATTTGCAAGACTTTGAAGGGGTTTGAAAGAGTAGACACTGAGAGGAACAGGAAGAGAATGGTGGAGAGTAGGGGGGTTGAAAGAATGGGTGATAGAGAGAGAAAATGGAAGGGAGAGCAACGTTGAGCAAGAGTGAGGTTGAGAGAGAGAGAGAGAGAGAGAGAGGGTAAGAGATGCAGGTGTTTGAGAGAGAATGGGAAAGATATTGGGGAAAAAAGAGAGAGGGTGAGTGAGATGGTGACAGAGATAGAAATGGGAAGAATGAGAGAGAAGAAGTGGCGAGGGAGTGTGGAGGTGGGAAAGAGATAGAATGAGGAGGAAAGAGAGAGGGTGAGGCAAATTTTCCAGATTGAAAACTCTCTTCAAGTGTTATGTGGCTTATCCAGTTTAGAGTTGCGAATTCCTGGGTGAATGATGCACTGTCTCTCCCTCTCCCTGAAGACTTAACGTCTACCTGACCGAGCCCTTCATTGGTTCGTCTTTTATTCTGGAAAACAAAACTGGAAGAAGAGCTCTGAGTGAGAATGAGTGAGACCATTCAGCCCAGGGGCTTTAATTCCACTCAGAAAGCCGCTGCCTTCACCCAGGGTTGGGGGTGGCAAATTCGATGGTGAAGGGGAATGGAAAAATAATAAATGGGAATGAAACATGTTTTAAAGAATTGAAGAGTGATGGAGAAAAGGGGTTAACATGGTGTGAAGGGGTGGAATGGCCCTCCCGGGGATGCGGGGGAGTGGACGCAGGGCGCTGCATTTTTCTATGATTCTATGACAAGCTGCTAAATCAGCATGTTCATCATTCTTTGTGTGAAGTGCTTCCTCATTTTGTTCTTAGTTTGGCTTGCAGTGGTCAGGCCATGTGTCTGATGCATGTTTAATTTGAGATCCCACAAAACTGCTAGAGGCTCTAACTACTGTGTCACCATGGTGGGGAGGGGGCTGAGTAAATTGGCTCAAGATTCTCTGGTGTTTGGGAAAAACAAACATGAGATGACCTCATTGGGAGATTCTGAAGGGGGCTTTGATAGGGGAGGTGATGTCCCAGTGGTATTATGGCTGGACTATTAATCCAGCAACTCACCTAATGTTCTGGAGACCTTGGTTTAAATCTCGCCACAGCAGATGGTGGAATTTGACTTCAATAAAGAATCTGGAATTAATAGTCTCATGATAATCATTGCCATTTGTTGGGGAAAAGCTCATCTGGTTCACTGATGAACCTCTGCTCCTCTGATACTGCCTGGCCTGCTGTGTTCATCCAGCTTGACACCTTGTTATCTCTGATTCACTACTGTACTTTAAGGAAGGAAATCTGTCATTCTTACCTGGTGTGACCTACATGTGACTCCAGACTCAAAGCAACATGGTTGACTCTTAACTACCTGCTGAGCAATTAGGGATGGGCAACAAATGCTGGGCCTAGCCAGTGATATCCACATCCCATATGTGATAGAGTCGTACAACACAGAAACAGACCCTTCAGTCTAACTTATCCAAATCAGCCAGACATCCCATTTGCCAGCATTTGGCCCATATTTCTGTAAACCCTTCCTTCTCATGTACCCTTCCAGATGCCTTTTAAATGTTGTAATTGTACCAGCCTCCACCACTTCCTCTGGCAGCTGGAAATCAATAAGAAAGAAGTTGAGGGATCATTTCCACTTGAGGGGGGAACATAAAACAATTTTAAAAAAGACACTGGGGCAATTTTATTTTTATATACAGAAGGAGATTTGTGCGTAGAATGAACTTCCGGAGGAAGTGGTGGATGTGGGCACAGTTACAACGTCTAAAAGACATTTGGTTTAGTACATGAATAGGAAAGGTTTGGAGGGATATGGGTCAATATGCAGGCAGATGGGACCAATTTAGTTTGGGATTATGGTAAGCATGGAGCGGTTGGACCGAAGGATCTGTTTCCATGCTGTGCGACTCTATGATTAATTAATTAACCTGCCCTTGATTCTTTGCGATCTATTGAACAGTATTCTCTCGACGACAAGGCCAGATATCTGGTGCAGCTTTTAAGGAAGTCTGCATGTGACATTGCAACACTGATACATAAATAGCTCATCCTGTGGGTCTGCTGTGGGCAGCAAATGTAAAGAACCCTCATCAAATGCAGCAGACACAGATCAAACACTCACCATGATTCTGATACTCCTCTCTGCCTGGACCCTTGCTGTTTCTCTGCTTGCTGTTGGTCAGAGAGGGGTTTGGCTACTTTTTGGAATCTGTCTGTTCTGAGCTGGCAGCGCTCCTTGTAGAGATTTCTGGAGAGGTAAAATCTGAAAGTATTCCTGTCGATGTGAAAAGGTGACATCTCTGACCCATTATCTGCTGGAAGGGGACTGGAAAGGAAAGGAGGAAGCCAGGGGTGAAGTTAGGGGGGCAGGTAGGTGGGGGAGATGGAAGAGGACGTCAGAGAAATAAAGGGAGGTGGAGAAAAGATGGATAGAGCAACAGTAAAGACAGTGAGGAAGTAGGGAGAGGGTGAAAGAGAATGCTGGGCAACAAGAGAGACAGGAAGGATAATAACAGGGGAATGGAGGGAAAGACAGAGACCGAGAGAGAGGGAGACAGAAGAGAGAGAGAGACAGAGCTAACAGGGAAAACAGAGAGAATTAGGGAGCGAGAAACAGCAAGAGCAAACAAGGAAAACAGAGGAAAAGACAGATAGAGAAAGAAAGAGACCTAACAGGGAACACAGAGAAAATGAGAGACAGAGAGAGAGAGCGAGAGCGAACAGGGAAGACAGAGAGAATGAGAGAGAGGAGAAAGAGAGGAAGCTAGTAGGCAAAACAGAGAGAGTGAGCGAGATTGAAGATCGAGAAATATAACAACAGGGAAAAGAGAGAGAAACACAGAGAGAGAAAAAAGAGAGAGTTAACAGGAAGACAAAGAAAAAGAGAAAGACATAGACAGAGAGAAAGAGCGAGAGTTATCGAGGAAAGAAGAAAGGGAGAATCATAAGGGGGGGGAGAGAGAATGGGTGAGAATAAAATGAGAGGAGAGTAAGAAAGATGAGAGTAAGAGATGCAAAAGAAAGAGAGGAGAGAGCAAGGAAAAGAAAGGAAAAGAGAAGGTAGAGAAAATGTGGGAGCAAGGAGATAAATTCAGAGAACAAAAAGAGGGAAGGTTAGAGAAAGAGGAACAGAGGCAGAGTGAGGAAACAGTGGACGAGCTGGACAGAAGTAAGAGCAAGAGACATGGAGACACAGCACAAATTGATTTCTTCAGGGGCCAATCCTACATTGCTTGGTCGAAAAGGGTGGGAGGTGTTATTTTGACATGCTGAGGTTACTTTGGACAGAGGATCAGGAAGCGACCTCCAGAAGGATTGTCTGGTCTGGTCTCTTGCAACTCTTGAGCCGGTTGTTAATGTTTAATGAATTGACAGCGCATCATTGGCTTGAGTGGCGATGTTCCCCCAGAGTGGAAAGGTTTGTGTCTACTCCTGACAAGTAAAGGCTATAGTGGAGACTCCAAGAAAGAATAAGCGTGCAGCGATCATTTTATATGTAAGAAACTCGGGGACTCTTAAGTAAGACTTAGATTAGAACTTGCTCTGAGGACAATTGAACAACTGAGCACTTTTATACAATGACGCAATGTTGGAGCAACTAGCTAAATACATGCTGTTTACCTTATTGTGTGCACCCTGTACCTTTTCGATTCCATGTACAAAATACACGAGAAATTCGATTTGTTGTTTTAACCTGCAATGTTCAGATTTATCCCATATTCTCCGTTGTGCAGCAACAACTCGCATTTCGATAGCCCCTGAAATTGAACTTGATGCCCCAAGCCACTTCATAAGAGTCTTCTAGAATGATCTACAATTGATGGAGGCATTTGAAAGAGAAAGACGAGAGTTTGAAATGGAAGCATGGCTTAACTTGGGGGTTGGGGGTAGCCGGAGTGGTCAGCGGGTACTGGAGAGGTTGGTGAAAAGAGGGGTAAAGGGGATTTGGCGTGAGTGACAAAAGAGGTAGTGTAAATTTTATTGTCCTTGCCTGAGAAAGTTGGCAATGAACTGAATGCCTTTGTAGTATGTTCAGAGTCCATCACATTGTTGTGCGTCTGGAGTCACACATAAGCCAGACCAGGTAAGGATGGCAGATTTCCTTCCCTAAAGGGCATGAGTGAACCAGTAGGTATTTTATAACAAGCCAAGATAGTCAGTGCGGTCACCATGACAGGCACCACATCCCAATGCCATGATTTTGTGGCTAATGACTTCAAATTTTCGACCACCTACCCTCGGTAAGCTTTCAAATTCATGACCCCAGAATATGAGCCAGTGATGTTACCAATATACAAGTGTGCAAGCAATGAAATGAACTTGATACTACAAGTCATTGTATTTGCTGGGGTAGATGATGATCAGACACTCCAAGGTTTTGGAGTAGATTTGTAGCTCGGGTTGTGGATGTTGTGGTTGGTTGGCTCGCCGAGCTGGTTCGTTGTTGTTCCGCAGACATTTCATTACCCTGCTGGGTAACATCATCAGTGCAGCCTTTGATGAAGCACCTTCTTCGTGGAGTACCAGGCTTCTAGGAACTGCCGTGCCTGTCTCTGCTTTGCTTGTCCCAGGATCTTGGTGTTGTCCCAATCAAATTCGTGGTTCTCCTTATCCATGTGGATAGAGAGGAGTGAGTATTGGTCATGTCTTTTTGTAGCCAATTTGTGTTCATGTACCCTTGTTGTTAATTTAGTGGGTAGTGGATCTTTGGTTTGGGTGAGCAGTTGTCGTAGGGTTGATGTGGGTTTGTGTGCCACTACCCACTATGGACAGGACCAATGTCATATACAAGATTCCCTGCAGAGACTGTGACAAACACTACATCGGACAAACAGGAAGGAAAGCCATCAACAAACACATAGAACTCGACCCCATATGTACTCCATTGTGAAGGAAAACCGGAAGTGAGGTAATCCAGCTCAAAGGACTCCAGAGTTTAAAAACCAGACGGGAAAACACAACGGCGCTTCATCGGAGGCTGCACTGATGAGTTTACCCAGCAGGGTAATGAAACGTCTGCTGAACAACAACGAACCAGCTTGGCGAGCCAACCAACCACAACATCAGACACTCCATTCGTTTTTATAATGACAGAAAACTCTGGAGGTAATTGTCATCCAGGGCGATCGGATCCAACATGGTCTCATTGAACAACAGTGCAGACTTGATGGGCTGAACGGCCCACTTCGGCTCTGACATCTCACAGTCAGACTTCACACTCCAACCCTGAAGTTCTTGCCTCTGAGTTCTGATTCAAAACATCAATTCTGTTTCGCTCCCCCTCCACCCTGCTGAGCTTCTCCAGCATTCTGTGCATTTGATCCTTTTCCAGTTTGAGACTGGAGTCTGCAGCACTCACTAGATAAAATCTAGATTCTGTCATTCCCAGCAACACACCACATAGAGCCTATTGATACTCATAACCTTCCACATGGAGTTGTAGAGTCATACAGCATGGAAATAGACCCTTCGCTCCAAATCATCCATGCCAAACAGATATCCTGAATTAAACTGGTCCCATTTTCCTGTATTTGGCCAATATCCCTCAAAACCCACCCTATTCAAATAAGCATCAAGATGCCTTTTAAGTGTTGTAATTGTACCCGCCTATACCACTTCCACTAGCAGTTCATTCCACACATGAATCACTCTCTGTGTGAAAAAGTTGCCTCTCAGGTCCCTTTTAAACCTTTCCCCTCTCACTTTAAGCCTATGCCTTGTAGTTTTGGACTCCCCTACCCTTCGAATAAGACCTTGGCAATTCACACTATCCATGCCCCTCGTGATTTTACAAACCTCTATAAGGTCACCCCTTTCCAGAGAAAATAGCCCCAGTCTATTCAGCTTCTCCCTATAGCTCAAACTCTCCAACCCTGGCGACATCCTTGTAAATCTTTTTTTGCACCCTTTCCTACAGCAGGGAGTCCAGAATTGAATGCAATATTCGAAAAGTGGCCTAACCAATCTCCTGTTCAACTGCAACATGATAACCCAACTCCAATATTCAATACACTGACCAATAAAGGCAAGTGTACCAAACGCCTTCTTCACAGGCTTCCCTTAGAAGTCAAACCCTCCAGTCCCGGTAACATCCTGGTAAATCTTTTCTGCACCGTTTTCAATTGAATAACATCCTTCCTATAGCAAGGTGAGCAGAACTGTATGCAGAACCCCAAAGAGTTTGGCCCATCTGTTGGGCTTGCAACCCTGGGAACCATTAACAACGCCTTGCACTGGATTAATGTTCCCAGTTGTTGGTGAAGTTTAATTGCCTCGTCCTTTTTTTCTGACACTTTAATGAATCTCGTGTCGCTCTTTTCCATAGAGATGGAAAGTGAAATCCTCCAGTCGCCCTCCTTTCTCACGCTATCTGAAGGCAAAGCCACATTTCTGCACTGCATCTTACGAACACAAACCACAGACATAATGGAACTGACCTTCACCTGGACTGTTGGCAGCTCAAAGGTAATCTGTGCTTTGGAAGCCAGTTTTTCTACGTCCTGCCAGGATGAAAATTCTGATCCAAGATTTTCCATCGCAGCTCATTTAGCAAACAAATCTTCAATCTTAACCATCACCCGCGCATCTTTAAACCACATTGGTGCCTATAGGTGTCAGGCCCAAATCTTCAAACCTTACCCAATCAAGACACTCACTGGCAATGGATCTGTTGTACTGGTACAGGGTAGGTGCTGTTTAAGCCTTCCTACCACTTTCAAAAATGCATGATTACATTTCTGTTCTGTCTTAAACTGCATTGGTCCTATCTCAGGCCCAGCATGTTTTGGCACAGCAAACAAGGGCAGGACTTGTACAATTAATGGTGGAGCCTTTGCGTAGTGGTGTAGAACCCTAGGCGTTCAAGCACAAAACTCTTGGAAGTTTGCGTCACATGTAGACAGGGTAGTTAAAAAGACCTTGCATGAGGTATAGTGACCCTCAGGTTAAACATGTCTCTCCAATGATGTGAGTGGAGACCATGGCAACTTAACAACTAAATATATGCTGTTCAGCTGAACTGTTTCCTGTGGGAGGAAGTTGCATATTTTACCCATTCGCTGAATAACAATGTTTCTCCAGAGTTCTCACCTAGATTTAATTGTAACTCTCCCAGATCTATACATAAACCTAAGTTCTGTTCTCCGCTAGAAGTAGGACTAGCTTCTCGATCTATTTGTTGATCTCTCTCATTGTCTTCTATCAGATCACCCCTCTGCCTCCTGGGGAATATGTGCATGGTTCCTGATGACTTATCCTCATTGGTATTTAAATATCTGGTGACTCTGAGTCTGTAGACACCTTCAATGACTATTCAGTCTCTTTTTATCCAGTCATCCAGTCTCCCACTTCTCTCATTGTAAGAGAGGGAGAAGTTATCAATCTGAACTGTACCTTGCGGATAGCAGTTATAAGCCTGGAAGTGCTCACCTTCACCTGGATGGGACGGGATAGTGAGGTTTCCTGCCATCTAATGGCCAATGTTTCTGAAACATTGGAGTGCGACAGCCAGGACCCACGAGTCTCTGTCTTGGCTCATTTACCGACTCGATCCTCAGTCTTAAGTATCAAGCAAGGAAGTCTGAAGGATGCTGGGACCTACAAATGCCACGTTGAAGTCCTCAAACCCAGCTCAATTGGCAGATTTGATGGCAACAGATCTGTCCTATCAGTACAGTACAGCTTGCTTCTTCCCCTCTCTGCAAATTGGGAACATCCACCCAGTATTTGGGAGGTGAGTGACTCTGGGCCGAACGAAGGGATTTTAGGGGAGCAGTTGGGGAGGACGGAGTAAGTCGGCAAGCTGGTCAACTTCAAGGAGAGATAACACAAACAACTATCTCTGAATTCATTGCTGGAATATCACTGGAAGAAAATCAGAGAGTGCTGGAGAAACTCAGCAGGGTCTGGGAGCATCAGTGGAGAGAGAAAAGAGAGTGAACATCTCAAGTCCAGTGATCCTTCTTCAGAGTGGGTATGGGATATTTCACCGGGATGGATAAGGGTTGCTTGTAGCCAATGCCAGATGTAATGTACTTGACCTGAAGCGATTATTTCAAACACTTGAATGGATTGCCATTAACACTTTCAGATGGGTTGATCAATCAGTTCAGCAGTGCTGGAGTCATAGAGTCACACAGCACGGAAACAGACCCTTCGGTCCAACTAGTCCATGCTGACCAGATTTCCTAAACTGAACTAGTCCCTTTGCCTGTGTTTGACTCATATCCCTCCACAGCCCTCCAAATGCCTTTTAAATGTTGTCATTTTACCAACGTCTACCACTTGCTCTGGCAGGTCAGTCTGTGCACGCACCACTCTCTGTGTGAAAATGTTGCCCCTCAGGTCCCTTTTAAATCTTCACCTTAAACCTATGCCCTCTAGTTTTGGGCTCCTCTATCCTGAGGAAAAAGACTTTGTCTATTCACCCTATCCATGCCCCTCATGATTTTACAAACCACTATAAGGTCACCCCTCAGCCTCCAACGCTCCAGGAAAAATAATCCCAGCCTATCCAGTCTCTCCTGAAAACTCAAACCCTTCAGTCTTGGTAACATCCTTGTAAATCTTTCTTTGCACCCTTTCACATTTTACAACATTCCTATAGCAGGGAGATCAGAATTGAACACAGTATTCCAAAAGTGGCCTAACCAATGTCCTGTACAGTCGCAACATGACCTCCCAGCTCCAACACTCAATGCACAGACCAATAAAGGCAAGTGTACCAAATGTCTTCTTCACTATCGTTTCTACCTGGGATTCCATCTTCAAGGAACTGTGCACCTGCACCCCAAGGTCTCTTTGTTCAGCAACACTCCCCAGGGCCCTGCTATTAAGAGTATAAGTCCTGCCCTGATTTGCCTTTCCAAAATGCAACACCTCACATTTATCTAAGCTAAACTCCATTTGCCACTCCTAACGGGATCTGTCTTTTGTTGGATTTGCTTGCAACCTGCAACAACGGCATGAAGATTCTTGTGCTGCAGTGGTCGTGTCCTGATGTCTAGCCTAGGAATCCTGGATTCAAGTCCCACAAGCCCCTGAGCTGTAATGCAATGTGTAAGGGAACTGTGATTACAGGGAAGAGGCAGGAAAGTGGATGATCAGGTCATCCCGGATCTCTGTGAACAGTGACCAGGGTCAATGGGCTGAATGGCCTTCCCAGTTCCAGATTGCTCACCAGGAGAGTTAACACCCACGGAAAAGGAGGAGGCCGCAGCTCCAAAACACTGCAGCAATTGTAAAACTGATCAAAGCTCTGTTGCGAAGTACCAGAGCATCTGTCCTGGACTTCCTTCGTAGATGCGACAGTCAAGAAGGCACAACAACGCCTCTTCTTCCTCAGGCAGCTCAGGAAATTTGGCACATCCATAAGCTCCCTCACCAACTTCTACAGATGCACCACTGAAAGCATACTGTCCGAGTGCATAACAGCCTGGTACAGCAACTGCTCTGTCCATGACTGTAAGAAACTACAGAAGGTGGCGTGCATCACGGAAGCCAACCTTCCATTCATAGACTCTATTTACACGGCTCGCTGCCAAGGAAATAGGTCCAACATCATCGAAGACTCATCCTACCCTAGTAATGATCTCCTACAACCTCTTCTGTCAGGTAGAAGATACAGAAGCCTTAACACACGCACAAACAGGTTCAACAGCAGCTTCTTTCCAGCCGTTATCAAACTGTTGAATGGACTCTCGCCTCAAATAATGTAACCTGCATGCCCCGACGTCTTTTTGAAGTGTACATCCTTTGCTTGCTGTGATCTGCCTGTACCGCTCGTAAACAAAGCTTTTCACTGTATTTCCGTACACATGACAACAATAAAATCAATCAATCAATCATCTCACACCCCTCAGTTCTTTCTCCTAACCTTTCTTTCCTATCACATCTTCCCCTCTCTGTCAGCGGCTGATTCACATTGTATTGTTCTTTTGGCAAGGTGTTAGTTAAACAGATTTCTCTTTTCAGAAATAGGTCATCAATCTCCTCGTTCCTTGGCTCTGCTGTTTGCAGTTGCAACCTCGGTTTTGCTGCTAGTCTTCATCGTCGCTTGTTTGAGCTACATTCTGGTTTTAAAATGGAACAAAGGTAAACCGAATCTCACTTGAATGCTGTGGTGATTAATATTTTGCACGTTGCTTTATTTTGGGGATCAGTGAACTCTGCCTGCGATAGGCTGTCTTGAACTGAGGGCTCAAGTCTCACATAAACCAAAATTAAAGCTCCCTCCACACTGTCCACCCAATCAAACACTCCCAGGACAGGGACAGCATAGGGTTAGATCCAGAGTGAAGCTCTCAACACTGTCCCCAATCAAACACTCCCAGGGACAGGGACAGCACGATGTTAGATACAGAGCAAAGCTCCTTCTACACTGTCCCCCATCAAACACTCCTAGTACAGGGACAGCACGGGGTTAGATACAGAGCAAAGCTCTCTCTACACTGTCCCCATCAAACGCTCCCCAGGGACAGGGGCAGCACAGGGTTGGATACAGAGTAAAGCTCCTTCTACACTGTCCCCCAACAAACATTCCCAGTACAGGGACAGCACGGGGTGAGATACAGAATATAGCTGTTTCTACACTGTCCCCCAATTAAACACTCCCAGTACAGGGACAGCATGGGGTTAGATACAGAGTAAAGCTCCCTCTACACTGTTCCCATCAAACACTCCCAGGACAGGGACAGCACGGGGTAAGATACAGAGAGTAACACTGTCTCTACACTGTCCCCCATCAAACACTCCCAGTACAGGGACAGCACGGGGTTAGATACAGAGCAAAGCTTCCTTTACACTGCCCCCATAGTCAGAGAGTCAGTGCTGAGGGAATGCCACACTGTTGGAGAGTCAGTACTGAGGGTGTGCCGCACTGTTGGAGGGTCAGTTGTGAGGGAGTGGACACTGTCAGACACTCAGGGCTGAGGGAGCTCTGCACCGTCAGAGGGGCTATCTTTCAGAGGAGACATTAAACTGGGTCACCTGTCTACCTCTTTGAGTGAGAGTACAACATCCTGTGGCAGTTTTTGGGCATGTACAATTGTATTAGGACTGCAACTAACTGCTCCGTCATGTATAATATAGACTGTTAATCTGGACATAATATTCAGCTGCTTCACCAATGATCTTCTCTCCACCATAAGGTCAGAAGTGATCATGTTCGCTGATGATTGCATAATGTTCATCACCATTCGCAACTCCTCCAATACTGCAGCAGACAATGTCCAAAGCACTTGACTTGACTGGTACACCACCAGCGCCCAACCTTGAGCATTCACTCTCTCCTGAGACAGCACCTTCCAAACCCATGACCACTTCCATCTAGAAGGACAAGGGCAGCAGATACATGGGAACACCAGCCCCTTGAAGTTTTCCCTCTGATCCGTTCACCCATCCTGACTTGGAAATATATCAGCCATCCCTTTAGTGTCAGTGTCACTGGGTCAAAATCCTGGAATTCCCTCTCTAACAGCACTGTGTGGGTATCCCTGCACCACATGGACTACAGTGGTTCAAGAAGGCAGCTCATCCCCACCTTCTCAAGGGGCAGCTAGGAATGGGCATTAACCCCTGGACCAGCTAGCGATGTCCACATCCCACATGTTGCATTGAGGGTCAGTACTGCACTGGGAAGGGTCATCTTTGATTTTTGTGCTTGAGGTCTGAAGGGGATTTAGGGGAAGGCATGTGTCTTGAACCAGGAACCCTGAGGCTCAGAAATATGAGATATAGTTCTGATAAATATTAATGGAGCAAAATTTTACATTGGTGCTTAGTCATCTACATTTTCTAATATTTCACCATCTTCAAAACATCTGTTTTTGGAGCCAAAAAATTTGCTGAACTAAATATTCTGACTTTTAATAAAAGATATGTATTTGTATATTAGCTATACTATATTGTATACATATAGTATATGAGGGCCTATCTATGAATAGAATAGATTATCCTTTATTGTCACACGTACTCCATACTCTATTGCAGAAGTACAGTGAAAAGATTTTCCAACATTTGCTTCTTGTGGTACCATCTTAGGTGCCAGTACCTAGGTACAAATCTTGAATACAAAAGAGGAGCAAAAAGTAGTTGCATTACTTTACAGAGTTTAAAAAATAAGACAACATTAAAGGATTGGCATTACAGTTGGGAAAAAAATTTAAATAAATGCTACATTGTAGCAGTTCAGCACAGGGCCTCCGCACATGATCTGACCACCAACACCAGGCCCCAGCCCAACAGCCATCCCCACTCCACTCCAAGCCTCTGGCCACTCCGTACTGGCACTCAGCTACTCCAACGTAAGTTCCAGGACTGCCTCCCCTGCGCCAGTCCCCACCTAGACATCGCTGCCTGCGTGCTGCTCCATGAACCGCTCCCTACGTGCTAGTCCAGGACTCCCTGCCCGTGTGCTGTTCCAGAGTCTGCTGCCGACACGCTACTCTGGGGCTCACTACCTGCGCTGCTCCAGGACTTGCAGCCCTGGGAGTTGACAAATTAGAAGCAGAGAAGATATTTCCTAATGTGTTTGAGAGGTGACCTCATGGAGGTCTATAAAATCATGAGGAGTATAGATAGGGTTAAAGAGAAGTGGCTTTTCCCTAGGTTGGGGGATATTAAGACTATTTTTAAAGTGAGAGGAGAGAGATTTAAAAGAGACAAGAGGGGCAAATTTTTTTATACAGAAGATGGTTTGCATGTGGAATGAATTTCCTGAGGAAGTGGTGGATATGGGCACAGTTACAATGTTTAAAAGACATTTTGATAAATACATGAATAGGAAAATTTTGGAGGGATATGGGCCAGGAGCAGGCAGGTGGGACTAGTTTAGTTTGGGATTATGGTTGGCATGGACTGGTTGGACCAAAGGGTCTGTTTCCGTGCTGTATGACTCTATGATTCTACGACTCTATGTGGGCCATTCTAGAACAAAAGATCATAGTTTTAGGATGAGGGGAAGCAGATTTAAAACAGAGATGAGGAGGAATTACTTCTCTCAAAGGGTCATGAATCTGAGGAATTCACTCCCTCAGAGTGCAATGGATACCAGGACACTGAGTAAATTTAAGGAAGAGACAGATTTTTCATTAGTAATGGGGTTGGAGGTTACGGGGAGTGGACAGGGAAGTGGAATTGAGGCCAAGATGAGATCAGCCATGATTGTATTGAATGGCAGAGCAGGCTCGATGGGCTGAATGGCCTACTCCTGCTCCTGGTCTTTATGAAGTAAGAAGCAGCGCAAGCATTACTGCACACTCATCCAAGAGTAAACCAAAGTGACATAGAGCCAGAAAGGACAGTATTAAACCAGACGCAAAGTCTCCTCTTTGTTTGCTCATTTAATTACAGAATACCGAATTACAAATGTCTGCCTCCTGCATAATAAACTGAGTGTCCCGGCAGTCTCTCTTTACAAGTGCTCCGCACCTAATTTACCAATTCTTTTGCATCATAACAATGAGATTAAGATTCCATTAACCATAAATTCGTGACTCAGAGGCAATTCCCCAGCTCTCCCACCCCTCCCTGGAAAACAATTTGCTTTCAACCTTTGAAATAAATCTGTAATAATGACTCAGTCTTAGTGATAGTGACCAGGAAGCTACTGGCGTTGTTATAAAAACCCACCTGGTATACTCATGTCCTTTAAGGAAGGAAATCTGTCTTCCTTAGCCAGTCTGCTCTTCCTGTGACTCCAACCATGTAGCCTCACTGTTGACCCTTAATGCCCTCTAAAATTGACAGGCCATCCACTCAGTTCAAGGGTAATGTGATGGCTTTTAAGAGATTATTTTGTCCTGGTTTCTTTTAAGAGAGAAATTGATCGAGAGGCACCTAGCTGCCTACTAAAGATCATTTGAGTAAACAGCATGGGAGGCCTTAGTTTTTTTTTAATGCAGCCTAAATGATTGTGGCCAGCTCTCACAGATCAGGATTTCTGAGCAGCATCAGAAGCTATTGGGGTCTCTAAAGAGTTGGAAGCTTCAGTGAATGTTTCCTGGCTGCCACTCTCTCTCAATTTTCTCTTGATGTTTTTTTTCTTCTTGGATTGGAGAACTGCATGTGAGAATCTGTGTCAGAATTTTCCTTTTTGCCAAGGGGTGTATTTATGGGATGTTGCTATATTGGAACAGTTAATTTGTGATAGCTATTGTACCTATTATTCTGTTAAGTTTTCTAATAGAGTTAAGTTATTCTAAGTTCTTCTTTCTTTCTTTTTATTTTAACTACAGTGTTTAAAATAAATTATGTTTTGGCTAACATCGAGTAGTTCGCTAGTCGTGTTGCATCTGGAACAGAGCACTTCACATCTACCTTTAAAATAAGGAAATGTTAGTGTCTAAGCTACGGTCTTAAAATATTTTGAGGGAGTCGAGCCTGGTCTGGTCCATAACTGCAATTAGGGACAGGCAATAATGACTGGTCCTGTCAGTGATGTCCAGATCCCATGAATGTATAAAGGCAGTTGAAGGTCTTCAAACAGATCCATTAAACTGCTAGATTAATGCAGATTGCAAAGCAGTGGACGAAACTCTCTTTCTGTTTCTTTCTCCTCACTATCTCCTTTTAATCTGAAGTTTGTGAGTTATTCTCTGTGTCCTTGGGCCTATACATGCTCTGATCAATCCAATTCCTATGTAAATAATTGGCCACAGGTCGCCTGCTTTGATCTTGCTTGTAATTCCTGCATCCTGCACCATTCGCCTGAAGCAACCTTCCGGACGGAGAGTTCTTTTCCCCGAACCACCCCCTGCAATATCCAACGGGCAGCAATGAGTCCTGGGGCATCACTGAATGACGCAGCAGGCTTGAGGGGCCGAATGGCCCACTTCTACACCTATTTTCTGGGTTTCTATCCCACTCCAGGATTGCTTGTGTTTAACACTTGAGCCTCATTGTCATGTTCTTTGTCTGCAGGAACTCCTCAGGACAAGACACTAAGGCGAGAGGCTCAGAACCTGGGGGCTGCTTCACCTGATGACCAGGTGGGTACTGTTTACAGAAACACCTTCAATGCCCCCACCTCAATTCCCCTCCGTCCCCCCCCCCCACCCCCACAGATTCTCACACTGAGTCTCTAGCAGGCTTTGGGGGTAGCGAATCATGTAGAGGGACTGATGAGGCTAGACTTGTTCTCCTCAAAGCCAAGATGAAGTGGGGGGAGGAGGGGGGGGGGTCATGAGAGAGTCAATGAACATGAGGGTATTCAAGGACATTCAGCCCTTCAACAAGATCCTGGTCTATCCTGGTGGTATTTCACAGGGACCGGTACAGGATCCAATGTTGTTTGTCTTTTATTTGAATGATTTGGATGAGAATAGAGAAGGTGTGGTTAGTAAGTTTGCGGATGACACCAAGATTGGTGGCATAGTGGACAGTGAAGAAGGTTATATACGATTACAAAGAGATTTTAATCAATTGCGTCAATGGGCTGAGGGGTGGCAGATGGAGTTTAATTTGGATAAAGGCAAGGTATTGCATTTTGGTAAAACAAACAAGGGCAGCACTTATACAATAAAAAACACAATAAAAATTAAGGCCTTGGGTAGTGTTGTAGAACTGAGAGACCTGGGGTTTAGGTACATAATTCTTTGGAAGTTTGCATCACATGTAGACAGGGCGGTTAAGAAGGCTGAAATAACTCCACAAAGGCTGGTATCCCATCACAAGTCACTGTTTATTTACACGTACATAGTACATGACGCTGACCCAGCTAACACAGAGCCAATCCTAGATAGAGCAGAACCCCTGACACTCCTGTTTGTTTCTGTCAGCTAGGGCTCCCCAGTTGGACCAGATTAACAGCCCCAATCAGGGAGCTCTAATTCCATGAGGTCCAACTGGCTGACATCATTCCAATCACTACTAAGGTGTTCAGCACGCTTGCCTTCATTGCTCACGCCATTGAGTATAGGAGTTGGGACGTCACTTTGAGGTTGTACAGGATGTTGGTGAGGCCTCTTCTGGAGTACTGTGTCCAGTTCTGGTCGTCCTCTTATAGGTTGGATATTATTAAGCTGGAGAGGCTTCAGAAAAGGTTTACCAGGATGTTGCCAGGAATGGAGGGCTTGAATTATAGGGAGAGGCTGGATAGGCTGGGATTTTCTTTGTTGGAGCATCAGAAGTTGGTGACTTTATTGAGGTTTATAAAATCGTGAGGGGTATAGATTGTCTTTTCCAGAGGGTAGGGGATTTCAAGATTAGGGCGCATATTTTTAAGGTGAGAGGAAAAAGATTTTAAAAAGGGACACGAGGGGCAACTTTTTTTTAAACAGAGACTTGTTCATGTGTGGAATGAATTTCCAGAAGAAGTGGTGGATGTGGATATAGTTACAACATTTAAAAGACATTTGGATGATTACATGAATATGAAAGGTTTGAAGGGATATGGGCCAAGCACAGGCAGGTGGGACTTGTTTAGTTTGGGATTACGGTCAGCATGGACTGGTTGGACCGAAGGGTCTGTTTCCTTGCTGTATGACTCCATGACTATGACTGGTGATGTCATCATCTCTCCTTTCCCACTTGTACCACACCCACACTCACTTTCTCACACACGCTCAGACGCCCTCACACACACACACACACACACACACACACACACACACACACACACACAGCAGCTCTTGGTCTCCTTTCATATTAAAAACTGACCCCACTCAAGTGTGGACTAAATCCAAGGATCCAGCCTCCATTGCCCTCCGGGTGTGGGCAAGGTGTGTGGAGGGGATGGTGATGTTCAGGAGTCATGGGTTCAAATCCCACCAAGACTGGCGGTGGAATTTCAAGTTAATCTATATCCAGAATTTAAAGCTACATTTGGGGAAGCTATACAACTATTCTTGATCGTCGTAGAAATCCCATCTGATTCATTGACATCCTTTAGGGAAGGAAATCTGCCATCCTTACCCGGTCCAGCCTACACGTGACTCCAGACCCACAGCGGTGTGGCTGACTCTTAAATTGATTGGGATGGGCAATAAATGCTGAGCTAGCAAGTGACACCCAGATCCTATGAACAAATAAAACAATTTTAACTTCAATGATGGGAAACGACGGAAAACAATAATTTGGGATATAATTAATCATCACAATGCAGGTTATTTCAGGAAAACTAGCATGGATTTCTGATAGCACAGAAAATCTGTTGATAACTCACTGGAGAATTTTGAAGAGGATTAATGAGGGTAATGCTGTAGATTTGGTGCATATGGACTACCAAAAGGCACTCGACACAGTGTCTTACAACAGACTTGTGAGATACTTTGTACCTCATGGAATAAACAGGACAGTAGCCAAATGGATACAAAGTTGTTTGAGTGATAGGAACCAGAAATTAGCAGAACCTGGATGTTTTTTAGGCTAGATTTAAGTTTGTGAGACAGTTCCCTTGGAGTCAGTGTTGGGGTCCCAGTCTTTTCTGATCTATATCAGTGACGTAGACCATGGAGTACAAGGAAAGATTACAAATCTTGTCGACACAGCTGTAGCCTTGGGTGACTTGGTGGTGAAGTGGTCAGCGCTGCTGCCTCACAGCAGCGACCCAAGTTCAATTCCAGACTCGGGCGACTCTCCCTGTGGAGTTTGCACGTTCTTCCCATGCCTGCGTGGGTTTCCTCTGGGTAGTCTGGTTTCCTCCCACAGTCCCAAGGTGTGCAGGTTAGGTGTGTTGGCCATGCTAAATTGCACCGTGGTGTCCAGGGATATATAGGCGGGTTAGCTGAAAAAACTCTGCAGAAGCTGGTATCCTATCACCCTTTATTTACACCTGCATAGCGCATGACACTAACCTTATCGCAGCTCAGAGCCTAGAGTGAACAGAGCCTTGGATACTCCTGTTCACATCTGTCAGCCAGGGCTCCCTGATTGGACCAGGCTAACAGCCCCAATCAGGGAACGCATATTCTATGAGATCCACCTGACTGACTTTGTTACAATCACTACATTAGCCCTGGGGATTGTGGGGAAAAGGCTGGGATGGTCTTCAGAGGGTTGCTGCAGACTTGATGGGCTGTATGGCCTCTTTCTGCACAGGAGAGATTCTATGACAACATATGCCTTGGAGGGGAGGGGAGCGCGAAACTACAAAAGGACACACACAGGTCGGCAAACAGATGCCATTCGATATACAGAGGTGTGAAGTGAATTATTTCTGTAGGAAAGGACACAGAGAGTGAAGAGTCAGGGCAGCATGCTGGCTCAGTGGTTAGCACTGCTACCTCAAAGCACCAGGGACCTGAGTTTGATTCAACCTTCAGGCGACTGTCTGTGTGGAGTTTGCACATTCTCCCCGTGTCTGCGTGGGTTTCCTCCCACAGTCCAAAGATGTGCAGGTTAGGGTGGATTGGCCATGCTAAATTGTCCCATAGAGCCCAGGGATGTGTAAGTTAGGTGGATTAGCCATAGGAAATGCAGGATTACAAGGAAAGGGTTGGGGGAATGGGTCTGGGTGGGATGTCCTTCGGAGGGGCAGTGTGGACTTGTTGGGCCGAATGGCCTGTTTTCACACCGTAGGGATTCTATGATTCTATGAAGAATGAAGAATTCGAGGACATCATAAAACGCAGAGTCACAGGGAGAAAGCATAGAGCAGCGCAAAGTGAGAGCAATCACAGGCACAATGGGCTCTGGCTGTGCCCTAACAATCCAATGACTCTGTGAAACTCTATGTTTCAATTCTGACTTCCAGCTCTATCCAGAGCTCCGTTTACTTTTCCCTGAGCTTGTACCCACACAAGCACAGTGAGAGTCGCAATCCAACTCAGGACAATGGGACCAGCTCCATCACGTCAGAACAGAATGACACTTACTGTTTTTAACCTATGGGCAGATCTGCTATCTGTAATTGGTTCTAACCTGTCTATAACTCCTTTCTTTCCTGTATAGTACTCAACTGAGATAGTGTACTTGCTGGTGCACACTCCCGTTTCACATCACCAAAGTGAGGAGAGTGCATATACTGAAATCAACCTCGCTGAGCTGGGCAGGGAACAAAGTCAAGACAACTGAATGACATATGTGGCAGTGTCTCGCTGAGTCTCAGAGGGCGACCTCACAGAGTTTCAAAGTGGTTCTGCAGTGGACTGAGCTTCCCCCGATGGAAAGGACTTATCACCCAGCAAGGATCTACAGGCAGGGTCTACATCTCCATGTGACCTTTCACCTCCCTTACATTTGTTCCGAGTTACTCCACAGCCCAAGGATGGGGGTCTGCTTCCTCATGCAGCGTTGTTGTCACAGTTCCGGTGTGCACAGAAAGATCCCACAGGCAAACAGGCAGCGAGGTCACGGCTTGATCATCTGTTAGCATGACATAACCTGTGGGGTATATGTGGGCTCCAGGACAGTGGGGAAAATGGTCCACCCCCCCCGCCTCTATAAACCACACACCGCACACACCCCCACACCCCATCGCACACTCCAATCCCACCACACACAACCCACACCCCATCACACACATCCTCACCACACAACACACACCCCCACCACACACACACACACCCCCACCCAACCACACACATCTCCCACCCCACCACACACATCCCCACACCCCGCCACACCCACCCCCACACTCCACCATCATAACTTGCCATATCAACCATCCCCACACTCCCACATCCCACCTCTCAACCCCCAACCCTGGAAAAGGCCCCTAACACACTCGCCCCATTCATACACACTCTCACACACACAGGCTCAAATACACACACACACATGCACACACACACAGACACACACACATACATTCGTACACACACACATATTCACGTGTGCACGCACAACTACACTTGCAAACACACACACGCTCTCTTTCTCACACATGCATACAACACTCACATCCACATACACTCACTCACACACACTCTCTCACACACACACACTCACATACTCTCTCACACACACACACACACACACGTGCATCCAGTATACACTTACACACACACACTCGCACACGTGCATCCACATACACATACACACATGCATACACACGCACTCAATCCTAATTTTCCCACGTTATCCAATAAACTCTTGATATCTTCAAAGCCCAGACATCCATCAATTGCTGTCTTGAATCTACGCAGTCACTGAGCCTCTGCAGTAGAGAATTCCATAGATTCACCCACCCTCGCCACCTCTCAGAGAAGAAATTCCTCATCGTCTCAGTCCCAAATGGCCTCCCATTTATCCTGAGGTTGTATCCCCTGGTTGTAGACTGCTCCACAGACAAGAAGCAACATCCTTCCCACTGGGAAAAGAACAATATTCTGTTTATACAATTGGTATGTCAGTAACTAGGGGTCACAATTTCAAGAGATCCAGGACTGAGATGAGGAGAAACTTTCTTTGTTCAGAGAGTTGTTAGGATTTGGAATGAACTGCGTGGGAAAGTGGTGGAGGCAGACTGCACAGGAGGTTTCATAAGAACATAGACCATGAGAACATAAGAAATGCCAGCAGGAATAGGCCATCTGGCCCCATCAAGCTTGCTCCACCATTCAATAAGATCATGGCTGATCTTTTCATGGACTCAGCTCCACTTACCCGCCCGCTCACCATAAAGCTTAATTCCTTTACTGTTCAAAAATCTATCTATCTTTGCTTTAAAAACATTCAATGAGGTAGCCTCAACTGCTTCACTGGACAGGAAATTTCACAGATTCACAACTCTTTGGGTAAAAAAGTTCCCCTTCAATTCAATCCTAAATCTGCTGCCCCTTATTTTGAGGCTATGACCCCTCGTTCTACTTTCACCTGCCAGTGGAAACAACCTGCCTGCTTCTATCTTAACTATTTCCTTCACAATTTTATATGTTTCTATAAGATCCCCTCTGATTCTTCTAAATTGCAATGAGTACAATCCCAGTCTACTCAATCTCTCTTCATAAGCTAACCCCCTCAACTCAGGAATCAACCTAGTGAACCTCCTCTGCACCCCCTCCTGTGCCAGTATATCCCTTCAAAAGAGAAATGGATATATATTTGACAGTGATAAAGTCAGAGGGCTATGGAAATAGGGCTGGAGGTTGGGATTAACTGGGCAGCTCTTTTGCGAGCTGGAACAGACCCAATGGATCGAATGGCCTGCTTCTGTCCTGTAAAATCCTATGATTCGATAATTCTACATATTCAGATTCCACCATCTGCAGGATCCAAGGCCTTGGGTCTCCAGAATATTGTTTATTAACAGTCAAATAATAATACCACAAGATAATGCCTCGCTTTGGAGTTCTTTCTTCCTGAAGAGATATCAGTAGCAGAGTGCTTGATATCTTTGCTTATCAGAAATCTCTCCATTTTGGCTTCAATGTTGGGGGTGGGGGAGTGAAAGGTTAGTCAGAGTTTGGGAGAAATGTGGATTTCAGGATGCTATCAACTTAACCACACTCTTAATTCCTTATTTGACCCAGAAATGCTATTACACGCAACCGAACGACTCTCCCACCACCAAAATCACCGTGACCTTTTAAAAAATTCTTTTATAAACATGAACCACCATCAGTAAAACACACCATGCAGTCATAGATAACAAGGTGTGGGGCTGGATGAACACAGCAGGCCAGGCATCATCAGAGGAGCAGGAAAGCTGACATCTTCAGAAATGGGAGAGGGGAAAGGGGCTCGGAAATAAATAGAGTGAGGGGGAGGCGATGATAGAAGGTGGATAGAGGAGCAGATAGCTGGAGAGAAGACGGACATGTCAAGGAGGCGGGGATGAGGCTAGTGGGTAGGGAGTGGGGTGGGGGCTGGTCAGTGAGTTGTAAGGAGCAGATGGGCGGGAGAAAGATGGACAGGTCAAGGAGGCGAGGACGAAAGGGGCTGGTCTTGGGATGAAGTCGGGGTTGGGGAGATTTTGAAGCTTGTAAAGTCCACATTGAGACCATTGGGCTGCAGGGTTCCCAGGCGGAATATGAGGTGCAGTTCCTCCAGCCTTCGGGTGGCATCGTTGTGGCACTGGAGGAGGCCCAGGATGGACATGTCGTCCAAGGAGTGGGAGGGGGAGGTGAAGTGATTCGCGACTGGGAGGTGTTGTCGTTTGTCACGAACCGAGAGTAGGTGCTCCACAAAGCGGTCTCCAAGCCTCCGCTTGGTTTCCCCGATGTAGAGGAGGCCACATCGGGAACAGCGGATACAATATACCACATTAGCGGATGTGCAGGTGAACATCGGTTTAATGTGGAAGGTGTTCTTGGGACCCGGGATGGAGATAAGCGGGGAGGTGTAGGGGCAGATGTAGCACCTTCTGCAGTTGCAGAAAAGTGCCAGGGGTGGTGGGTCTAGTGGGGAGTGTGGAGCGGACAAGGGAGTCATGGAGAGAGCGGTCCCTCTGGAAGGCAGATAAGGGTGGGGAGGGAAATATATCCTTGGTAGTGGGGTCGGATTGCAGATGGCGGAAGTGGCGGAGAATGATGTGTTGGATCCAGAGGTTGGTGGGGTGGTACGCGAGGACAAGAGGGATTCTGTTTTGGTTGTTATTGTGGGGAGGGGGTGTGAGGGCTGAGGTGCGGGAAACGCAAGCGATGCGGTCGAGGGCGTTTTCGACCAGAGTGGGGGAAATTGTGCTCCTTGAAAAACGAGGACATCTGTGATGTCTGGGAGTGGAACGGCTCACCTTGGGAGCAGATGCAGCGGAAGCGAAGGAATTGGGAATAGGAGATAGCATTCTTACAGGAAGGTGGGTGACAGGAGGTGTATTCTAGGTAGCTGTGGGAGTCAATAGGCTTGAAATAGATATCAATTTCCAGGTGGTTACCAGAGATGGAGACAGAGAGGTCCAGGAAGGAGAGAGCGATATCAGAGATGGTCCAGGTGAACTTAAGGTTGGTGTGGAAGGTGTTAGCAAATTGGATGAACTGTTCGAGCTGCTCGTGGGAGCACAAGGCGGCGCTGATATGGTCATCGATGTAACAGACAAAGAGGTGGGGGATGGTGCCAGTGTAGCTGCGGAAGAGGGATTGTTCCACGTAACCTACAAAGAGGCAGGCATAGCTTGGGCCCATGCGGGTACCCATGGCCACCCACTTTGTCTGTAGGAAGTGGGAGGAGTTGAAGGAGAAGTTGTTAAGGATAAGGACGAGTTTGGTTAGACTGATAAGGGTGTTGGTGGAGGGGGACTGGTCGGGCCTGAGGGACAGGAAGAAGCGGAGGGCTCTTAGGCCATCTGCATGGGGAATGCAAATATATAGGGACTGGACATCCATGTATTTATATGCAAAGCCCATTAGGGTAATGTAAACAGCCAGGAGCAAAGGCAAGGTAGGGAGGGAGGGAAAGGACGAAATCAAAATTGAGTTGGAAGGGGAAATAAAGCGCTGTTTCCCCCATGGTGCCCACCCCTCTCTCTCTAAAGGCATCGACGGCATTGGTGGATACTGTGTGCTCCTTCTCCAAGGACACCCGGGTTCATAACGGAACGGCTGAAGAAGAGGGGCAGGCAGTTGGCAGAGATGACCCCCGCCACAACTTCCACGTCCCCCTGCCTGTACTTATTTATAACCAGCTTGGCCAAACCCAGGAGCAAACCCCCACCCCCACGCCCGCCAAAAGGAGGTCCTCTGATCTGCCCACACTCCCCTACACCCCTCACCGCACCAAAGATCAGGAGCGTGGGGCTGAATTGAAACCAAAAACGCCACAAAAGATTTTTTCAAATGACTAAAAAGAGGGTGCAATCACCCATGACCAATATAGACATGGTCCATGGACTCCACAGTGCTCAACAAACACCCAACTGGGCTGGGAGTCCATGAACCATCAGAATTTGCGATTGTACAGGGCCATGGCATTCAACACCCTCCACCCCAGGTCCCTGAGGGAAGGAGGGAGAACTCCCACAACGAGAGCTCTTCACTGGGGAAGCCAAACGCTTATTGAATGATAGGCCCAACCTTCTTCAGCTGCTTCATTAATGCCCTTCCCTCCCTCCAAAGGTCAGAGGTGGGGATGTGCGCTGATGATTGCACAATGTTCAGCACCATGCGCGACTCCTCAGATACTGAGGCAGTTCGTGTCCAAATGCAACAAGATCTGCACAATGTCGAGGCTTGCGCTGACAACTGGCAAGTAACATATACGCCACACAAACGCCAGGCTATGACCATCATCAATAAGAGACAATCTAACCACCATCCCTTGACATTCAATGGTGTTATCATCACTGAATCCCCGACTATTAACATC